CTTTTTTTTTTAATCGGTCAACTTTTATATTCGAATCCTTTAATTCAAATAATACAAAAAAAAAGATGAACAAAAATCATTACCAATAATTCAATGATAAAAAATGATTTCCTAAAACGTAACAATATATCAAATAATTAATAGATATTTATATACAATTTAATTATCAATATTCTTGTCCAAAAAATATATTAATATATAAGTCTCAAAGGGAATTATAGACGGTTAATAAATCTGATGAACAATTTATTTTGAACTAGTTCTAATAAATTTTCTTGAATGTTCATCAGATTTATTAACCGTCTATAATTCCCTTTGAGACTTATATATTAATATACAATATATACTCATAAATAATAATAATTCATTTACATAGAAATGATTCGATTGCATGAACCGGATAATAATTAAATATTTTTTATCGTTTCGATATGAATATTATAAACTTTTAACAAAAATATCGATATACATATACTCTAACGTGAAATAAAAATTGATAAATAAACAAATAATATTGTTAATTAAAAAAGGAAATGAAGATTATTATCAATACACGTATCTATTTATCTTTAATTCTTTATAACTTTTGGATTTTGTTAAGAAAAATGGGGAAAAACGGTATGCATTTGTGTCTACAAATTTTTATCACTTAATTAAAACATTTCTTCTCTATAAACTATTACTATCCAATAAAAATATTATCATGAAATTTTATTCGTCAATTTTGTCTCTATTTTGTTGCAATATTTTCCTAATCATTCCTTCCTTACTTCCTTTTTCTTATCCCTGAAACATCATCCTTCTAGTTAAATCTTTTTACTCTACTTGATTCTTTTTGCATTTTCCTATTAAATGTTCTATCGTTTCTTCTACAAATCCACGTAATCTGCATAAATGTCCCCCCTCCCCCATTTCCCTCATTTTTTTTTTTAGTATCTGTTCGTTCATCTTTCCTTTCCGCGATCTGAATCTCACAATCTCATTGATTGATTCTATTCTTCCATAAATTCGTTTTTTTTTCCTAAGTAATTTGCTCTATCTACTTCTTCTCCTTCTTCTTCTTATATTATTATTATTTTTATTCTTTTCCTTTTAATACTCTATACCATTTATTATAATATCTATTATTCATAATTTTATCATATTGTTTCTCTCTTGCATTCTTTTTGTTCTATCATTTTCTGTTGAATTTTCAATTAAGATTAAATATCTTATACATTTTACTTTGATCTTTTTCGTTATTAGAATTTACTTCAAACATTCCTCATAATTATTTTAATCTTTTTTCTTCTCGTTTTCTTTATATATATATAATT